AGGACTCTCTAACTCTTAACCACTGAACTTATTCTAGAGAGATTCGGTACAACAATAGTCGATAGAATAGTTTTTATTACTCAAACCTTACGTGATCGGGCACTGTACTGGTAAGATCCCTGCGGGATTATTTATTTATTGAAACTACGATAAATCATTTCAAAATAGGTAAATCTTACTTGGGCACTGAATTGATTCTGGTTAATTCTGTCAGAAGTCATTAATCTACGCGGACGAAGTCGCGGGCAACAGCTATCTACACATATAATAAATCGTAGAAAAGTCAAAACTGTACATTGAATATTTTTTAAAAGAATATTTGAAGCGTGATCTCTAATCGATACCGAAGCCAATAATGTGGTTTTTAGAATTTTTGTCTGTTTGTCTGTATGTATGGCCGTGATGATCTCAAAAAGTACTGCACTACTATTTCAAATTTTGCATGAATATTACTAACAAGTCTGGTAAACATATAGGCTACATATTATCACGCTATCATCTACGGGACTGAATCAATTCTGACGACATCCATTACCGTAGAATATCCCTTGATAAAAACTAATTCAAAAGCCTAAATTCTGCCAGAAGTCATTATTCTACGCGGACGAAGTCGCGGGCAACAGCTAGTTGATACATAAAAGGATACAACGAGTATTGTCCAGTGGAGCCGAACCAACATGCTGCCAAGCATTCTTATCTTCAAGATAATCTGTCAGTGTGTAGTAAGCTTGATTACATAATTCGCGCTTAATATATGTTTTAAATTTACTTTCATTCTTGGAGAACGCGCACCCTACGAGCTAGGTAGCATAGCGAGTCGCCACTTCGCCAGTTTGCCATCAGTCGGTTTTTGGTCGCGAGACAACACGCGTCAAAGAGAACGCACAAGACTGGGTACGCTGTATTTGAACGGCAAAATGAATAGACTTGAGTTCGTCTCGGAGTTTCAATAATGGAAATATAATCAGATTGATCCTACTTTATGAATTTTATAGGGTATACCCTATGCTATTGCACCTACCCAGAGCTAACGACGCGGGCGTACAATTTTTTTATAGCTCATCTTTTTATATATTTTCTTAATAAATTTTTCTTAATTTTTTTTTTAATATTTTTATTCATTTTGATTTTTGTTATTCACAATTTTTTTCAAATTTGAATTTCTCGCACATCTTGTTTTTTTACTTTTCATCTATATTGAACATTTATTGTTAATTTTTGATCAACTTTTTTAAATAAAAAATATGCACAGAGCGTAGAGCACAGTTCTGAGGGTTTGCAAGGGAGGCAAGAGACTCCAACTTCAGACCTTGGCGCCCCTCAGGATTTGTCGCCCTGGGCCATCGCCCCATCACAAATCACTGCTCAGCAGTTTGCATGTTGCAATACTCTGTAGAACCTTCGTTGTATCAAAGTAGGTGTAATGTCCTGATTCAGCAGATCTGGGCGTCGTGACACGGCGTTGGTCACGGTGTAGGTACATGTTCGGCACTGATACGTAACAGGTAGCTAATAAACCAAGGAAGGTTTCTAATAGTTTGTACCCTTAATGTAATCTATACTAATATTATAAAGGTGAAGAGTTTGTTTTTTTGAACGCGCTAATCTCAGAAACTACTGCTCCGATATGAAAAATTCTTTCTGTGTTGGATAGCCCATTTATCGAAGAAGGCTATAGGCTATAAAATATCACGCTACAATTAATAGGCGCCGAGCAGAGCGAGTGAAACTGCGCGGTAGTAGCTAGTGTAATATATTTTTTAAAACCATTCCAGTTCTCTTTTGACCAAAGAGTGACTCGAAACATTGCCATTTTAAAACGAATGATATTTCTACCAGTATTAGTATTGCTAAATGTTTATTGATGTATTGACAACAAACTAAAACTAGAATCACTTAAGCAGTAGGTTATTTTATTTATTGTCGTTGTTGTTTTACTATTTATTTTATTTATTTTCAACTTCATACAACAAGTGTGTACAGGTGGACTTAATGCCTCGGGCATTGTCTCCCAGTCAACCTTTAAGCAGTGCAGAGATGAAAGTAGCTACTTTCATTCACTTTTGTAGTCAAATTTGGATTTGTTTGACCAAAACCGAAAATGTTGAATATCTCGGAAACTAGCCACTTTCGGACTAAGGACCTCTGGACTAATTTTGTAGGAAATTAGTTGTATTATCACCTCCCGAGAGGGATACGATGATTGTCGTGGTGGCCCGGAGGTTTAAGACGCCCGCTTCTCATGCATGAGGGTGCCGGTTCGAAACCTACCAACGGCAAGTACCAATGTGTCTTTTTCCGAGTTACATGTACTTTCTAAGATTATTCAGACACCACTGACAAACGGTGAAGGAAAACATCGCGAGGAAACCGCGGCTTATAATTTCTAATGATAAGTTTGTAATCGCCAACCCGCATTGAGCAAGCATGGTGATTAATGCTCAAACCTTTTCCGTGTGAGAAGAGGCTTTGCTCAGCGGTGAGCATTTATAGGCTGTTGATGATGATGATGAGAGGGATACGTCAAGTTGTAAGTCACTCTTTTTAAGCTCCCCCTTCTCTGCCAAATGTGTAGTCCCTTAGTCGGGTATACGACACCCACGGGAAGAGTAAGGTTGGTGACAAATGTATTCGATTGGATTCGATCGTAAAATAAAACGCATAAATAATTTTGATATTTTCTTTTTATTGTTTAATTCTTAGTCGAATTCCTAAACTTAAAGTTAGGCGTAGGACCCTTTTTGCAAATAAACTTCCTAATACAGATTCATAACTACTCAACGGATTTTTTTATATTTGATGGGTCGACGTTTGTCCACTATCTCGCCTGGTGATAAGCGATGACACGGTCTACGATGGAGCCGTCGTCCCATAAGCAACCTATTCACTCGGGCCTTGAAGACATCCAGGTGATACTACTCAGGAAACACAGACTCTGGCAAAGAATTCCTCAATCGTACCAAAACTGAGAATATTTTAAAATAATATTTAATATTCTAGTTTTCGTATATAATGTGATAAAGATATTAAAATCTATTTTTATTTAGATAAGTGTGTTAAGTTTCGTAAACAATAATTTTACTAATTTTTTTTTTATTAATTAGGTACTAGCTAAAGCTGTGCTTTAGCATATTTGTAAGAAGGGTCCTAAGAAAGCTAAGTTAAAATCATTAACACAAAACGTGACAGTGAGTGTCGCAAGCACCAAAAAAGTAAAAAAAATAAAATCTATTTTGACAAAGTAAAAACAAAAATATGGCGGATGACAGATTATTTTTTTAAATAAATAAAATATACTTAAATTGAATACCAATGTGTATAGCAGGCATAAAAATATATATTTTTTTATAAAATGTCTATTAAAAGTATTAACAAAAAGAGATAAAAATTAATATTTTGAGAACATGGTTTTGGGAGTGATTCTCCACAAAATTCTTGTTGTATGGTAAAAAGCGAAAAGGACAAAATATATCTTACAAATAAATGTAGAGTTTACTAAAGAATTAATATTCACAATAATTGATTGGTCCGAAACTAACTATTGAAAAGTTATTTTTAAGACTAGTGGACTTAATGCATTGCATTATATTGAGATGAATCGCACATTCACATTATTAAAAAAAAAGTAACGGTGGATTTTCTTGCTCATTTACATAACATAACAGCCTTTTATCCCCGAAGGCGTCGGCAAAGGTGCACATTACAGCACTTAATTCCACTACTTTTTGCGTCGAGTAAATGAGCTTGAGCAGAAAATACAATCAGGTAAGTTAATTGTTATGCAGATGACAAACCAAAGATTGATTCCGCACAGAGACAGTAACCATTGGTTGTCTAGAGCCGACTGAGTTACAAACGATATGACTTCGTTACAATACATCACTACGTAGTATAAAACAAAGTCGCTATCCGCCGTCTGTCTGTCCCTATGTATGCTTAGATCTTTAAAACTACGCAACGGATTTTGATGGGTTTTTTTAACAGGAAGACTGATTCTTAAGGAAGATTTATAAGAATACATAACATA